AGGCCAGGCAGCATCAGAGGAGCAGCAAAGCTGACGTTTTGGGTCGGTCCTCTGATACTGCCTGGCCTGCTGTGTTCCTCCAGCTCCACACTGTGTTATCTCTGACTCCTGCACCAGCAGTTCTTACTATCTCTGAATGAGTTATAACTCCACTTGTTTCTTTCTGTCCACAGATGCTGCCAGACCTGCTGAGTTTCTCAAGCTCTTGCTGATTTTAATTCAGATCTCTATCATCTGCAGTACTGCATTATTAATAAAACTGAAGGCTTCCACTTTGGAACTTGCTGCGCTCTTAATCAAGCTGTTTTTGTACAACCACAACACTGGCATCTATCCAGTAATGTAGAAAGTTGCTCAGTTATGTCCTGTCTACAAAAAAGGACGTTTCCAATCCAGCTGATTATGGCCCCATCAATCTGCTCTCAATTGTCAGCAAAGTAATGGGAGGGGGTGACATCAACAGTGCTCTCAAAGATCATTTAACACTGCTTACTGATGCTTAGTTTGGGTGCTGACCGGACTATTTGACTTCTGACCTCGTTAAATCAGATGTCCTGCTGGACTCACATGCTAGTTGCTAAGTGTTAGTCCTAGCCACTGGATTACAATGCAGTAACATTACCATTATGCTATCATTCCTAGTAAATATAAAATCACTTTTTTGGTTTTGCTTATAGCTACATTTGTTTGAGAAATTCAATATACATCCTTGGAGCACACAATTGTTGTTTGAGCTTGACTATTTTAGTGTCTGTGCAACAGAATGACATGACTGAATATCAGCATCGTCTTTACTGCTCATGCACACTTCTTTCACAACAATGTGGATAATAGTAATGATGGAAACAGGTTTGAAGACCCCATTCTATAGTTATTTTGAGAAAAGCATTCATGATGGCATTTCATTTTTAAATAAATGAACTTGTGTTAAATTGTTTGTTTTATTTTCCTCTTCTGCGTTACACTAATCCTTTGCAGTGAAGATTTAGTTTTATATATCTGAGTCTTTTTTTCTTTATCTTATTATAGTTGGGATCATGCTTATGAAAGGGAGTTGCAGTCCTTTTATGATTCAGGCGATGTTGGTGAGATTTGGTAAGGACCAAAAATGAAAGATTCTTATCTAGTGGCTCACATTCTATCTCTTTCCCCTTAGCCAGCCCTCTCTTGGATATTTTATTTAATGGAACAAATATCTTCAAACAATTAAAAAAGAGTTTCTACATAGTGTGATGCATATTAGTGCGCAGCTGTCAAGTTCATTGTGGAGACGAGGGGAATTTATTTGAATTTTCGTCAGGCTGATGCTTGATGGATAGTGCATGGCCATGAGCTATCTGTTTTCTTTATGTGGCCACTCTCATGTTCCAGCAACTGTCTTTTTCATGGCCCATATGCTGTAGGCCAAAAGTGACTGCTGCCTGCCTTTGCCACAGGTTCCAGGCAAGCAGCTCCCACCACCTTGAGGCACTAAGCATCACTAATTGGACATTGAGTTATGGAGAATAATTGCAGTCTTTGAAATTAAGAATGGTGTTGAGAGCATGATACTGTTGTGACTCAGGTTTATAACCTGAAATTCATCTTGGTGTTGGGTTTCTGACCTCACTGATAGTTTGGTCCAATGTGTTTGTGTGAAGGTTGGAATTTATTGGGTTGTGACTGGAATGATCACTGCTGCTCATATTCAAAGCCCATAAATGAGTGGGCACTCTTGCCAAAGATTCAGTGATCTGTTTGTGTATTTGCATGGAAGATTTATACATAAATTTTAAAGATTATCATATTCCTTCATCTTCTAATTTAGTGTCTTTTAACTTCAAATATATGGTTTGTGAGAAAAGTAAACCTGCAAAGCTTGTGAACAGTAAATGTAATTTAGTTAAGCTAGCATCTTACATGGTCCACAATCATTACCTTGTAAGTCTTGCAGATATATAATTTCCTACTTTATTTTCTTCACTGTTATGTTATTCGCAAAATAAACCAATCTAGAATAGTAAATAATGTTTGATTAAAAGTCACAAAGTCTGTTGTCCTCTAGGTTTGGTGAAGAAAGCATGGATCGTATCATAACATGGTTGGAATTGCAAAAAATTCCCAAAGATGCTGCCCTGCTGGATATTGGGACAGGAAACGGGTATTTTTTGATTGAACTTGTAAGTGTATTTTGAAGTCAGAAAAAAAAAGACTAAAATCTAAGTGTCATCATAAACCTAACTTAGTCCTGCCCACGCTCCAGCTACCTACCCATTACCCATATCTTTGCTAGAGTCCTATGAATGTTATAACCTTACCTTACGTTACATCATCTGCTTCTGCTTCTGCTTCTGTTTCAGTAAATCTTTTGGCTGCATTGTCTCTAATCATTTGAACCTCCTTCCCCGGGATTTCGGCTTTGTTAACTTCCTCAACATCTTCCTTTTGACAAAGGTTTTGTTGCTGTATACCACCTCCTCCTCTGAACCCCAAATCTAGACCTGTCTACTAGCTATCCACTTCCCTGCAAAGAGCTATGAGACATTTTTATGTTTGTAATAAATGCTATAAGTATGTAAGTTACTTTTTAAAAAATTGCACAGTGAATACTAATTTCCAAAGCAATTTTAGTTCCAGCCTGCTGCTTAGGTTATTTTGGACAGTCAGACCTAGGATAAATCTATCAATTATATAATGACATGCAAGCGAAGACAGCCAAAAGCAGGCCATTTTATGTATTAAATATATTCTGAGCTGATTGTTGGTATTCTATTTCTTTATTTCAGGCAAAATCTGGATTTACTAACCTGACTGGAATTGATAATTCTTCTCCTGCAGTAGAACTTGCTAAAGCTATTGCTGAAAAGGAAGACGTCGTGACTTTGAAATTACTGGTTAGGATTTTAGCAAACATTTCCTTCAAATGATTGTCAATTTTATGCCCATCAAATTTATCTTTCTTCTCCATTGCCTTCTCTAATTATATATCTTCCCTGTCCCCCACAAAAACTCTATGGCATTCAGAAACATGAAAGTCAGCAAGCAACTTTCCTCATGTCTCTGCTAATATCAGATTTTGACTGACAGCTGGAAAGGGGTGGACATCACTGCATTGACTCTATAAATAATTATTCTGGCTAAGGATAAACGTATTGGTGTTTTTTTCAGGTGGCTTGAACAAGGTTGGGAATTTTCACTGCTCAAAAACACTTACAAAATCCTGCATCTTACTTCCTCTGTTGAAACATAGATGTGCTGTGTTACAAGGCTACTCCCTTATAAATTTCTGACTTGTCACAAGCCGTGACTAGAAGATAATTTCCCTTCATGAGCTAGCCCTCCCTTCACCCCTCACCTGTTGATGACAGTGACAGGGTTGTGGTTCCAATGATGTAGCATCTCACTTGTCAATCTGCTTGTTTATTCTTTTTGTGATCCAGTTGCTTATTGAATTGTCTGCTGTTTTTATTGTAATGCCTTAAACTTTCCAGTTCTTAAACTATGAAAAATACTCAACAGAAATTCTTGGGAAATAGCTGCTGCACTCTTTTCATGCATTTATTCTTCAAACTCTCTTTTCTCCTGCTGGATTCACCACTTCCTTCATTGGTGGAAATGGGAATGATATATGTAGTATGAAGTTCTCCATGTTTGCTCATAATATTGCTGCAGCGTCCAAAACTAGTTCTTTTGTCATCCCTGTCTCAAGATTGGAAATCATTACTTGATATTCTAGGAGCTCCGACTAACCTACATGAGAGAACAATTGATTAGAAAGGAAATTTGTGTGATGTGAGACTGAAATATAGCCTGATAGCTGCAAAGTGGAGGTTAAAAGGCTCTAGTTAAAAATTGATTCCTATTTTATCCTCTTCCAAATTTGTGTTTTATTTTTCTAAAGAAGATAGGAGCAACTTGCTTGGAAATATCACTCCTTCCATGCAAGAAGGCCTCTCTGAGAAGGAGGGAAGGGATCAGGTGGAAACACATGGAGAGAAATTGCTATGTTAGCATTGTGAAACAAAGGGATGTTTGGAAAGCAGAGAGGGAAATGGTACAGAAGAGGGTGTGAGGCTTGAGGAGAATTCCAGTCTTTAAAATTATGCAGGAACCTGAAGCAGAGGGACAGGAGTAAGATAGGGGAGGGCTGGTTGACTGGGCAACAAGAATAAGAATTTTGAATTCATTGTAATGATGTATTGGAGGTTGGGGAGATCGGATGATGGGAGCATGTGACTTGGAATATATGGGAATTTTCCTGTACATAAGTCGAAGTTTATGGTAAGTTTTAATGTTAAGATGTAGGATAGTGCAGTCTACCTTTAAGGTGATGACAACATGGACTAGAGGTGGAGAATGTTACAAACACGGAGTAAATTGAAATGGAATAGAGAAAGCATAGGCGAGAATGCTGAATTTGGTAATGAACATGTTACAGAGATGCTGTTTGCAGCTGAGGGGTTGACTTTATTTTACCAGCAAGCAGTTGGAAGAAGCTTTGGCACATAAAATATCTTTTATCTGAGACACAATGTGATGTTTAACTTGTTACCATCTTCTCCTTTATATGGGTGATCAATGCTGGTAAAGCCAGCAATACCCATTTCCCATGAACAAATTAAAAAGAAACTTCAGGTTTTTAGGCAGGGGCAGTGACATAGAACTGGTTGTTCTCATCTTACATGTTGACGCTGACCCATGTTTGAAGAAAATGTCACTAAAGGGCAGCAACATAGATAGTGAAGAGAAGGATGTAACTGAGATGGTTGTCCAAGCAGCCATAAGGTGTATGTGGAAGCAATTTGGTTCCAGCATTGCCTTAGCTGACAGGAGAACGAGGAAGGGGAAGTTCCACAGACTGGATAGCTGAGGAGATATTGCAGTGGAATGAAATAATTATTGATATTTAAGATAACAGAAACTGAGGACGAAAGGAAGAGAAAAAGTAGTCACAATCACAAATGTACAAGATAACATTTATGACTTTGATTAGTGTGGTCTCAGTATTGTGGATGGACCAAAAGCTAAATTAGGTTAATTTGAATAAGAAATGGTGACAGAGGTAAGGGCCTATTTAGAAGGTACTCCAGGACTTTTGCAAACAAAGGAACCAATATAAGAATGGCATGCTGTTTAAAACAAGTGAAGGGGTTTAAATATTTTGTTGTTTGCACCTGTGATATGGCAATGCAGAATTAATTGCCATTCCAGTTGCCCAAAGGGCATTAAAAGTCAAGCATATAATGAGTGACTGGAGTCAGATATAGGTCAGAGAAGTAGGGTGGAACAGATTCCTTACCCTGAAGGCATTAATGAATCAGTCAAATATTTATGACAATCTGGCAAATTTGATGGCAATTTTCTGGTGCTAGCCCCAAAATTACTAGGTTTATAGAACATAGTCTGGCATGGTATGATTTGAATTGAAAATTTGTGGAATGCAGTTTACGTACCAACACCATTAGGCTATTGATCTGCACAAAATGAGTTTTGAAGGCAGATAAACAGCAATTTTGAGGAAACTGCAAGTAAGAGAGGCAAGGATATCAGCTATCAGGCGTGAAGTTGAGTATTCAGAAGCTGGAATGGAAGGGACTTGAACAAGGTGATGGGCTTCATGGATGATTGAGCTGAAGTCAGTAGTGAAGTATTGCAAAGAGTAAGTAAAATGTATTTGGAGAATAGCTGGGGAGAACCAGGAGAGGGTAAGGTTTGGAATGTCCAGAGAAGGCAGCAGCTTTGATGCAGTCAGCCTCAAATTTGATCTCAAAGTTCAGTGAGTTCCTCCTGTTTTGGCTCTGGGTTGGGGATGGGGAGGTTAATCTGTGAGAGTGTCAGCCACGGGGGAAGGGAATTTGAACATTATGCTCTCAAGTATTTTGAGGGAAAGGGAGTTGGCTTGTACATTCCATTTTAGGAAGATTATCTGGTTAGTTGGAATGTAGAGTTAATGCAATTAAAATAGATCTTTGGGTGTAATTGGTTCGTACATTGTACAGAGTAATTACGCTGAAGTTAATTGCTGGTAACATAACACATGAAGGAGGTGTAGTCTCATGCCAAGTTTATTTTTAATCTTTGCAAGCCCTTTGTGCAGGAATTCTAAGCATTTCTGAAGCATGCTACTAGAGCTCTGGCACCAACCAATTGTTTTAAGTGCACTGACATTGATTCTGTATCAGCATCCCCTTGTGATTAAGTACAGTGAATCTTAGAATGATTTAAGGCACCGAGACATCGGTTGTTCATAGTTCAAGTGAATCTGTTGCTGGGCGTACTTTTCCCACAATCGTTTCTTGCTACCAGTGGGCAATTTATGCAATGAAATTACACTGTTTAATGATTGTAATAAACTGTTCTGCTTTTAAGAGGGTTATGTGCCAAATATTTATCAGAGACAGTTTTATTGGTCCGTTGCTCACAAACATTTCACCATAATGACCAGTCATTCCAGCTGGTCACACAGATGAATTTACAGGTAATACTAACAGCCACAGGTTATAGCTAAGTGACTTATTCTTGTGTATTTCTGGAGAAATGTGACTAAAATACATGAAAGGGAGAATTTCCATCCATTACCTCTCAACACCCATCACCCCCTTGAGTTGATGCCAAAAAAAACTGGCGCAATTAGAACTTCTGAGATTCTATTCTGAACATAACTTCCCTTTGCTTTTAGGTGGAAGACTTTTTGCACCCATCTCCTAATCTTTCTCAGTATGAAATTTGCATTGACAAAGGTACTTTTGATGCCATCAGCCTTAGCCCTGACCACCCAGCTGAAAAACTGAGTTTATATCAGCAAGCCTTGCATTGTGTCCTGAAGGATGGAGGCCTTTTCCTTATAACAAGCTGTAACTGGACCAAAGAGGAACTCATCAGTCACTTCAATGAAGGCAAAATATTTTTATCATTATTTCGTTGGCGGTTTGAATTACCACATTTGTTGTCTTTAAGCACAAGTCTGCTATTGGTTAATTAAGAAACAATAGCTTCAAAATCATAATTTGCTATTTGGGCATTTTATTTCTTGCTGTGTACAGTGTCTGTGAAGTTTGTGAAACTGATTATAAATGGGCTACTCTTGTTGGAAGAGCAGTGTTTGAAATGGACTATGGTAGAAAATTGTGTAAATGCCAGATGCTAAGACAGCTTTACAACTGTTCTTTTACCTTTCTGTCACTTAATTTGGTTCCTCGTCAGTGCCACAGAACATTCCCTCCTAGCTATAAACTTTCAGGACGCTGCCTTTGCCATGTCTCCAGTGACTGCTGACGGCGATCAAGTGGCAAGAAAGAGCCTTATGTTGCTTCCCTCAGATTTCTTTAGCTTATGAAATAAGTTTATCTCCCTCAGTATTTGTGCTGTGAAGCACAAATACTGCAAGATGATCCCTCGGCACATCTGCTACACCAAATTAAATGAAAGTATGACTTCTGGAGGACACTGTACCATAACATATTAACAATGTGGACTGTCATTAACTTGTATCAGGCTTGGGCTATTCCTGACCTCCACTCCTACATTGAACGTCCTCTTAATGGATTTAATGGGCTATGTATTAGAGAAGTATGCTTTAAACTGCCAAATTAACTTTTAAAGAGGCAATATAATAGCTATGAATAATAAAGCATTTTGTTTTATTCCAGGATTTGAGCTGCTGCAGGAGCTACCGACACCCAAATTCCAATTTGGAGGCAAGACTGGACATAGTGTAACAGCACTGGTTTTCAAGTGGAAATGATAAGTCAGGATAACTGCAGCACATAAGACTCTCTGAGTGGTCAGCTCCAAACTGCTGTTTTTCTCAGACCAGAATTACTTTAACAAGCTGCAGCTAATCACGAGTTGAGCATTCCTATTACTCATACATTTTAATTTCACAATCTTGCCGTTTAATAGGCACTTCATTGTGGAAATGATCATTTTCAGTATGAACTCAATCACTCAACAAAGCCTGAAGTGATGACTAAAAGAGTTGTGATAAGGTAGTCTGAACTGATCTGTGACTTTTTAAATGAAGATTATTATTCCCTTCCATGCCCCGTTACAAACACCACACAGTATTCACAAAGTGCACCAATGGCCTCTAGTGGCAGCAAGCTGGGAATACATGAATCTGTGCGATCACATTCATGCCGTCTGTACTCAGCCGTAGAAGTAGGGCAGTCAGCTATTGAGCCTGCTCATATTTGGGAGAAACTTTGGTGCCAAAACAACAGATTGCAGTTCAGTCACGTTTTCCAAAAGTGCTTTGAGTTCAAGCCTTATTTTGCATCACGTTCAGAATCTGTATTGAAAGACATCGGAAATTGTTTTAGTGGATAAAGGCAAAATACTGTAGATGCTGGAAATTTGAAACAAACACAGAGAAGGCTGGACAAACTCAGCAGGTCTGGTAGCATCTGTGGAGAGAGAAACAGAGTTAGTGTTTCAAGTACAGTATGTCTTTGGACTAATTCTGTTTCTGTCTCAACAGATGTTGCCAGACCTGCTGAGTTTTTGCAGAGTTCTGTGTTTGTTTCGTTTTGGTGCATGTTACATGTCAGAATTATTGTGGGTGTTTTGAAACCCATTAAGAACATTTGCTCTCAAACTTAAAGGTTTAGCCAATGCGATGTGTTAATATGCATGGGGTGTGCATATTTAAATGTAGGCATTTACATAGTAATACACCTTGGCATAGATGGATTGAGGGTGACAGCCAATGACCTTCATAAATAAGGACATTTTCTTATAGATAAAGCAATTCTGAAGAAGAATCAAAAGTTAACCCTGTTTCCCTCTATAAATGTTACCAGAACTGCTGAGTTTCTCCATCATTCTGTTTGTTTCATTTTTTTTAAAATGCTGACTTATAATTTATAATGGACACTTGAGAAGCCAGAAGTTCCTGATAGAAATAGTAATGCATAAATTGGAATGGAAAGGTGGGAGAAGAAAATCACAGCTTTGTGTTAATTTTGATTTGATGTAGCATACTAGTACAATAAAGTGCGAGTCCAGTACTGTTAATTAGTGTCGTTGTATGTTTTCTTTTGTTCCCAAGCATTCCTGATTTTATTTTTCCTCATTTCCTTTTGACTGTTATCATCCTGTTCCCTGAAGGGGCTATTTTTGACTGGGATACAAGTCACAAGTGTTAATTTTAGGAAGGTGCATCATTAGACAATCAACCCTCCAGTACCTTCCAATTCTCTACTCTTTCTCTCTTAATACCATTCTGTAAGAGGGCATTGGACTTCCACTGGATGGGTCCATGATGTAGCGCTTTTCCTGCAGGAAACTTTCATTCTTATTGCCTTCCAAATGGCATTTGGAAGGATTTACAGGCTAATAATCAACTAGGAAAAGCTTCAAAGCTTTGAAAAGACTCTTGACCTGCTACTGACAACTGCCCAACTGTCTTATGTCCCCAAGCTAACAGTCCACCTGACTCTTAATCCTTGCTCTTGCTCTTGCTTTCTGATGGCCAGCCAGAGCTCATCCTCTCTCCCCCTCAAGCCCGTGTCTTTCTGCCAGAAGAACTGCTAGTTGTCCCACGGATTCTCTGCCACAGTTCCAAATCTCTGGCTGAGTTAAATCATTTATATTGTGCTGCCTGCTGATTTTTCCAAACCTACACTGCTCCCCACACCACCAAAAGCACATTTGCTGCAAACGGGTTCATCAGAAAACCTATCAAAAGCAAATGAGAATTTTTGTCTGGTTGCTGGATCAACTTTGTTCAATATCTTCCTGTTAGACTTTGGGAGGTGAAGGTGGGGCTGTTGCATACTGTGGCCTGCAGGGTGCCTATTGGAAAGCCTAGCCTATAGGTTCTCCATAAAGTGATAGCCCACCCTGACTTGGAACATTTACCATTCCTTCACTGGCACTGGGTCATAATCTGGAGGTTTAATGTCAATATGAGTGTACCAACTGAAGATGGACTGCTGTGGTGCAAGAAGGCAGCTCACTATAACATTTCAAGGACAATTAGGGATGGCAAGAGTACAGAAAACAAAGAATGCCCTTGGGCATGGGCAATACTCCCTCATATTTTCTTCAGTGCGTGGAATGATGTCCTGTGCTGCTCACAACCTCAATGCGTCAACGAGCTAGTCACACCTGTCCACGTGCAAGGAACCCTGCATCAACAGTTTAGGAGGAACATTGGGATCATATCACACCGTGGTAGATGGTGGAATTTGAATTCAATTAATAAATATTGAACTTTTCCCTTACTTAAAGGAACTGCCTTTAGATGTTTTGGTTGGATTTCAGCCTGATGCTGCTCCTCAATGGTCACCCCATGTGCAGAGGGGGAAGATTGGTCAGAAGTCCACCTCCTGGGTCTGGCCAAGGTGGCTATCAATGGGTCCAAGCAATAGGCCATGGAGGGGATCAGGCAGCTTGCTGTCTGTCCCTCTTCTGGTTACATCCATGCAGACCTCTTAAAAATAAATAATGGGAATTGTTTGTATTCTCCTGACTGCAGAATTGTCAAGTAAACAGTAGGTGGTGGTCTATGTCACACAGATAGTCACCCAGATCACTCTCAGAAAATATGATTAGCCAGAGACAGATTGATATGCTCTTTAACTGAAGGAACTATGTAACACCTTCCTTTAAGTCTTTTGTCACTTAATGAACGAAATATAAATGTTTACTCAACAGTGAAATTAAGTAGCAGATATTGAGAGTTAAGTAAACCAGATTGGCAGTCAAATTTCAATGACTCCCTATCAGCAAGGTGGCAAATACCGTATTAAGATAAATCCTATTTGCGCAAATGTCTAATGGGAAATGCTGGCAAATGGGACTAGATTAATTTAGGATATCTGGGCGGCATGGACGAGTTGGATCAAAGGGTTTGTTTCCATGCTATACAGCTCTATGACTCTAAATAGAAGGTTCTAAAGGATAATTTTGAAGGTGAGAAGGAAATGATAAGGCAGTAACACTGAAGGAGGGAATTCAAGTTAAGGGGTGGCAGAAGAGAAGCAGGATAGTGGAAGCAATGTAGATGATATACATAAAGGGACAGAGTTAGGAGAGAACAACAGATAAGGAAGGCAATGCCAAACAGTGATTTCAAGGACTGAATAAGTATAAAATTTTGCAGCACTGGGTGAAACCAGTTAGCCTATCGTGCCTGTTCCAGAACTTGGATAGAGCTGAGCTAACCAATTTTTCTCACTTCCCTGTTCTTTCCTTGGAGTCCTATAAATTTTTCCTTTTCAAGTATAAACCCAAATCCTTTTGCAACTTATGATCAAATCTCCTTTTGCTTTTCAGACAGTACATTAAAATATTAAAAGGAATTGTCTTTCATCTCACAGGAAGAGCTTCAAGCTTTGAAAAGGGAGTAACATTGAATAGGATAGAGGGGAGGTTAATGATATTACCTCCAGGGAAACTGCTTGATAAAGGGAATCATTGAGTTAATTAGGACATTTACAGGGAAAACTTTGACAATAGATGCTATATGATGTCTAGTTTGATTGATAGGTTACGGCAGAGAGACTGACTGTAAGTTTATACAGGAGCAATGTGACCATGCATACATACAGGAGTTTGACTGAAGAGTACAGCGAGACAGTAAGATCTTGGAATCATTTGTTGGAGAAGGTCAAAAGTGTGAGAGGATGATAACAGTGGGAGTGTGAAAGCTAGTGCAGGGAGAGGAAGGGTGGAAAAGCAAAAGAGCTTTCACCTGGGTTTGGCATCCTTTTGCAATCACAGTGCAAATGGGAGCAACAGAATTTAAGACATTAAACACAGTTTGCAACGTAAACATCAAACAGCAAGCTGAGAGTTTAAGGTCGGGGATTGGTGAAAGATGCAGTGCCTGGAGCAGGAAATAGTTCAGACAGTCAGGGGTCATGATCAGTCAGGAAGCCAGAGAGTAGTTTGTGGCCTGCAAGAAGGTCACATTAAACCAGAGTCTGAACAAAGGTCAGTAAACTAATCCTGCACCCTACAGGAGTCAAAAAAGTCTTAAGTGTAAGTCAAAGAATCTGGTGTCTGCATAATAACATGAAGTACATAGTATGGAATATGTTACTCTTGATTACTTAATTTAGTTTTTTTTATGCCTGCTACATAACAATGTCTCAGTGTCACACAGAACCATGTTGCCAACCTGTATGCAATTACAGAGTTTCCTAAGTCAACCATCCACACCTAATCTTACCAGATGTACTGGAATTGATTTCCTTGCTTACTTATCCTCAGAAAAAAAAACGCTGTCTGCAATACACTTACAATTTTGTCCTTCCAATTTTGCTTGAAATCTGTCCCTATTATGTAGAATATACTGCAGTTGATAGTAGTAAAGTTAATTGAATCTGAAAATCAAAACAACTAAAACTGTATTGAATAATATGTAAAATGTGACAAATTTACTGATGGGCAAATGATGATTCCTGAAATGTAAATTTCACTGAATAGCGTTTAACCCATACTTTTTATGTTCCCATTGATGATCAATAACCTTGATATATGGATGACCACACCTCATTTTGCAGCTTCGTGATTCTGTTATTTTGAGAAAGCTTTGACCTTTCTGTTTTCTAAACATGCGTTGCCTTTATGTTGAACCAAAAAATCTCAATGACTTTTTCACAATAGTGTGTTTTTTGTTTGGCGTCTGTTCTTTATCCTCATCTTCTACTGTGGTAAAAATGACAGTTTTGAAGCTGTGATTTGTGAAGTAGTGTGTTTTCAATTATTTCTGTACAGTGCTGTAAACAAGCCAATCTATGGAAATGAGTAGCCCTGGGGTTATGGTTGAGGTACATGGATATTCTTTCACTTGGTGTTTGCTGGCTTTGTCATGAACAATCTGCTTTCTGACAGCATGCTGATTACAGACTTGCTGAGAGTACCGTTCCAGCTGTTCCAAGTAACCTAAATTCTATCCCATTTTTCTGATTAACAACTGCTATCTCTACATATAGTCCAATGGTATTATTTTCCTTTGAAACCCCCATCCCAAAAAAAAATGTATAAATGTACAATGCCCCTCAATTACACTCAACTTAGCTCCTGTGGCTGAGAGACTTGGATTCCTTACAAGGTCTCAATATTCACTTCTTTGTCTATACTCTTCAGCTCTTCATTCTAGCCACTATGCTCTGTTCCTCTTCATCTAGATTATTTTTTATCTCTTGCTCCCTCCCTTTGCTTTAACTAAATTTCATATTGATTCCTTTGACTGTGCCTTCAATGTGCAACAAGACAAATTTGTTTACATCCCTGCTGTTCACTTTATTTTAAATTTGTTCAAGGGATACAGGTGTCAGTGGCAAGGCCAGCATTTGCTGTCAATTCCTAGTTGTGATTGAGAAGATGGTGTGAGCTGATTTCTTGTTCTGTAATGGTTCACGTGGTATAAATACACCCGCAGTGTTCTTCAGGAGGTAGACACAGGATTTTGACTCGGTGCCAATTAAGAAATGAAGATGTAGTTCCCAGTCAGGATAATGTGTTTTTGTTTTTTTTTGGTGACCGTTTTGAAAATGGAGATATTCTTAAGTGCCTGCTGCCCTTGTCCTTCTGGTACAGAGTTCAGGTTTGGTAGGTTCTGTTGCAGTCAGTGCAGTCACATTGTGCCACGTAGAGGGAGTGATTGTTTACAGTAGTGGATGGAGGACTGGTCAAGTTGGCTGCTTTGTCCTGGATGTTCTTGAGCTTCTTAAGTGTTGTTGGAGCTGCACTCGTCCAGGTAAGTGGGGATTACACCATTACATCCCTGACTGGTACCTCGTACATGATGGATAAGCATTGGATAGTCAAGATGTGAGTTACTCAGTGCAGGATTCCCAATCTCTGATCTGCTGTTGCAGCCACAGTATTTATTTGGCTAGTCCAGTTAAGTTTCTGGTCAAAGGTGATTCCCAGGATATTGAGAGTGGAGGATTCTGAGACATTAAGGCAATTGACTATCAAGTGGATAAGATTCTCTCTTGTCGGAGATGTTCATTGCCTGGCAATTTTGAGGAGCAATTGGTACTTGCCACTTATCAACT